TTTTTTTCTTGATTAGTGTGCTTAAAGGCTTGCCGATTTTATTTATCTCTTCAAAGAACCAGCTCTTGGATTGTTTGATCCTTCGAATTGTTCTTTTCCTCTCTATGTCATTTAGTTCTGCTCTGATCTTGATTATGTCTTTCCTTCTATTTGCTCTGAGATTTGGTGGTTGTTGTTTCTCCAGTTCTTGAAGTTGTAGTGTTAGGTGATTTATTTGAAATGTTTCTATCTTTTTTAGGTAGACCTGCATTGCTCTGAACTTCCCTGTCAGGACTGCCTTTGCTGTGTCCCATAAGTTTTGACTGGTGTATGTTCATTTTCATTTGTTTCCAAAACTTTTTGAATTTTTCTTTTATCACCCTATTGGCCAATTCATTGTTTAATAGTCTACTCTTCAGTCTCCATGAGTATGCAGGTTTTTGAGTTTTCTCATTGATGTTGATTTCCAGTTTCAAGCCCTTGTAGTCCGAGAAAATGCTTGCTATTATTTCAATTTTCCTGAATTTGCTGAGGTTTGCTTTGCATCCTATCACGTGGTCTTACTTTGAAAAAGTTCCATGAGCTTTTGAAAAGAATGTGTATTTTGCTTCTTTGGGATGTTAGGTTCTATATATGTCAGTTAAGCCCATTTGATTTAATGCGTCATTCAGCTCCACAATATCTTTGTTGATGTTTTCTTTGGAAAATTTGTCCATTTTTGACAGCGGAATGTTAAAATTCCCTACAATCAGTGTGTTGCTGTGTATATATTTTTGAAATCATCCAAGATTTTCCTTATATATTTGGCCGCTCCTGTGTTGGGAGCATGTAAGTTTATAATATTTATGTCTTCTTGTTGGATTCTTCCTTTATATATTAAAAAATGTCCCTCTGGGTCTCTTTTTTTGGCTTTTGTTTTGAAATCTACTTTGTCTGATACAAGTATGGCAACCCCGGCCTTTTTCTCTTGCCCATTTGCTTGGAATATTTTTTCCATCCCTTTACTTTCAATCTGTGTAGGTCTTTGGCTCTGAGGTGGGTCTCTTGTAGGCAGCATATGTGTGGGTCATGTTTTCTTATCCATTCAGCTACCCTGTGTCTTTTGATTAGGGCATTTAGTCCATTTACATTGGGAGTTATTACTGATAGAAACCTATTTATTTTTCTGTTTGTACCTGTGTTTTTCTCTTTCTCATTCTTTTCCTTTATCTTCTTAAACCAGTCCCTTTAGCATATCTTGGAGTACTGGTTTGGTAGAGATGTAGTCTTTTAACCTTCTTTTGCCTGTGAAACTCCGTATTTCCCCTCCCATTTTAATTGAGAGCCTTGCTGTGTAGAGCAGCCTTGGTTGTAAGCCCTTGTTTTTCATTACTTGGAATATTGTTGCCATTCCCTTCTGGCCATAGTGTTTCTGTTGAGAAGTCAGCTCTTAGCCGTATTGGGGTTCCCTTGTATTTTACTCTTTGTTTCTCCCTTTCTGCCCTTAGGGTTCTTTCTTTTTCTTTGATATTTATCATTTTAATGATGATGTGTCTTGGAGTGGGCCTCTTTGGGTTCCTCTGAATGGGGCCCTCTGTGCTTCTTGGACCCATGAGACCTTTTTCTCCTCAAATTGGGAATATTTTCCATCATGAACTTTTAAAGAAGTTCTCGATCACTTGCTCCTCTTCTTCCCCTTCTGGTATCCTTATTATGCAGATATTATTGAGTTTCAGGTTGTCCTGCATTTCCCTAAATGTCTCTTCATTCTTTTGCAGTCCTTTTTCCATTTCTTGTTCTTTCTGGGAGCTTTTTTCTACCTTGTCCTCCAGGTGCTGATTCAATCCTCTGGTTCATCTAATCTGCTTTAGTTTCCTTCTACTGTGTTCTTCAATTCAGAAATAGTAATCCTCATATCCTCTTGTGCCTTCTTGATTGTTTCTATGTCCTTTTCCAGGCTTATATATTTTGCAGTAAGTTCCTGATAGTTTCTGTGTAGTTTCTTATAGTTCTCTTTGAGCTTGCTGAGCTCATTGAGCTTCCTTAAAGCCCTTGTTTTGAATTCAATATCTGATAGTTCCCTTGCCTCTATTTCATTTAGCTCTCTCTGTGGGGATTCCTTCTTTCCACTCATTTGGGGTGAACTTCTTTTTCTTCCCATTTTTGTGAGAGTCTATTATTACTATTATTATTATTATTATTATTATTATTATTTTGCTTCTGCTTCAATTGATCCATCTATATTTCCTGACTTTGTGGATTAAACTTCTATGGTAGTAGGCTGGTCTTTTTATTTATTGATTGATTGATTTACTTTTCCTTTTGGGTCTGCCTGTAAAGATGTCTGTTGTTGACCTTATTTGATGTTGGGCTGTTTGTTTACGCCTTCCAGGAATCTACTGTCTGTGTCTGTCTCCTATAATTGTCAATCTGGTCACTCTGTCCTCTTCTGTCAGGCTTGGGCACCACAGGGTGGAGCAATGTCATCTGATTGCTGGACTATCATGCCCTTATAGACTGCTGTCACTCAGTGGAGTAGTCTGCTTGAGCCAGATGGGGATAATGGACAGGGGAAGAGTCAGTACTGTGACTCCCCAACACCTCTGTCTCCAGTCTCTCCTTCAGGGTCTTTGGGCAGCTCTGTGAGCCCTTTGGCCAGGGATCCGCTATTTCTGCGGACTGTGTTGTAATCGCGGGCCAACTGGCTCCCACTCCCTCTTTTGCCTCATTGGGGGCTTGGCCTGCTTGCACAGAATGGAGACTACAGAATGGAGAGAGTGTCAGCTTCAGGAATCTTGGCTAATCCTGCAGCTCTTTCCCCAACACCTCTGTCTCCAGTCTCTTTTCAAAAAGTCCCCTTTGGCCAGGGATCCTCTATTTCTTCCAGCCAGCCTGCACTCATCCCCAAGCCCACAGGTGCACAAGCTGTGTGTGGAGTGAACAAAAGGCAAGTTTATTGATCCACTTATGCCTGAGCAAGATGGTAGCTGCAGAGTGGGAAGTGAGTTATCACCAGGGCTTCGCTGGCCACTGTCTCAGTTCTCTTCACAATGTTTTTCTCACCAGTCTTTCCTCAGGCACCAGCCTACTCTGCTGCCACCTCTACCCAAAGATCAAGGAGGGCGGCTGCCACTGCAAATTTTTGCGTTGGACGTTAAAATGTCTCTTTGCATCTCTAGCCGCCTGTCTCTGGCAGAGAGCGCCCCTAAGCTTTTCAGGGTTGCATTTTGTCTGTGTGTTTTCCTGGTTTCAGCTGCTGTAGTCTAGCGGTCCCTGTTTATGATTCAGACCCTGTTCTTCTTAGGGGGATCCAAAAGGCCATTTCAATGTCCCTCTGGTGCTGGTGCCCATGGGCACCCAGCCCATCCTCTCAAGCCTCTGCTGCACTTCTCACCCATTGGGATGTGTGAGAGTTGAATCCACTGTCTGTCCGTGGCTCCAAGGCTCCTCTCCCTCTATCGTCCCACTGCTTTTCAGGTGATTTATCCACTGTTTAGTCACAATTCCAGTTTGGTTTTGGGAGGAAGTCAGCATGACTCCCAGTCACTCCTCCACCATCTTTTCTATCTCACAAGGTTTATTCTTTTTTTTTTAATTTATTTTTTCAAATACATTTGTCTCTGCCTACCCCCTACCACTTTCCCTTGCCTCCTCCTTCCTTCCCTTCCTCAGCTCTTCCCCTTTGGTTTTGTCCATGAGTCCTTGCTATATGTTCCTTGACTTTCCCCTTCCCTTCCTTTTCCCCGCCCCCCTCCCTCCTTCCCTCTTGTCTCTGTTGATTTCTTTTCCTTTTAGTGTTGCTGGTCTTATTTTCCTTGCATCTTTGTATTGTTGGTTAGGTTCCGCTTATAGGTGAGATGATATGGTATTTGTCTTTCGCCCCCTGGCTTATTTTACTTAGCATAATGCTCTCCAGTTCCATCCATGCTGTCGCAAAGTTTAGTCTTAATCGTGCTACCTGTTCAACAAGCATTGGCAGGTAAGTCGTGTTCCCTAGGGTCAAATTGGAATCCATATTAATACAGATACAACCTTGTAGTAGCTACCCCATCTATAATACAAGGCCTCTTTGTCACTGCAGTCAAGGAGGAGGACAAGGAAATGTGTTTAATGTGCTGGAAGTGAATCCCATCTCTTCTGCTTATCTCCCGTTAGCTAAATCTGGTAACATGGTTCTAATATCTGTGATGGGGGAAAACTATGTAATCTTCTCTCTTGCTCTGAAAGGAGAAGAAAACTCAATATGGATGAGCACTAGAATCTGTATTACAGACTCATAAGATAGTGTGCAAAGTGCTAGAATAAATAAAAATGTGTTCCACTATGGATGTGTCAAGAAAGTCTGCTTAGGTGAGCTAACAGCTGACTTTACAGTGAAAGAATAAATAGGAGTAGGGCAGTAGAAAAGGAAAGTAAGGATCTGGCAGTCAGAGGAAGAAGCCCACATGGCAGCAAAGAGAGACAAGATGAAACACAGCACACTCTGATAATGGTAAGAAAAACAATTGATGAGAACTTAAGTTAATTACCTATAGGTGAAGGTTAACATAAAATGTTTTGAAGGGCCTCATATCTCATATACAATGGTACTAAGCTCCATTCTGTAGGTGACATTGACTCCAACGGAAGAATTTGAAAGAGAGACAATCAGGCTATTTAAGGAAGAAACTGTGGAAGTAGGAAATGGGTTAGAATAAAAAAAATGACAGAAATTAATATGATGATAGTACAGTAATTTAGATGACATAATAGAGAATTGATGTGAAGGGCAGATTTAAAAGATAATTTCAAAGCTGAATTGATAAGAATAAGTGATTATAAATATAGAATAGATAGAAAATAAATGATACAGTATTACTCCAGAGGAATTCAAGGAATATCCTTAGGGCTGCTTCACCCATATTCATTTTATGAATGGATACCTCCCTTACCTCAAAATACTTTAGGGAGGTATTGCTACCATTACATGGTTTCTTATTAAGTTTGAAAAGTGCCTGAAAGTTTGGGCACCAGAAAGACACCCCAACAACATGTGTCTTAAACTACAACTTCAGGTTAATATTACTAGAGCAGTTACATTGTGAGAAGTGCTGACGGTATGTGATGTCTTTCCCGGCACAGAGAGGGCCTTGGTTCTTCACCAGATGGTATAGCCACCATCTGTGCCACCCATGAAGAAGTTCCCCTTTCGCTGAGTTATGAGGACATTGGCTCCCTGCATGACTGCAAGCTGAGCAGCATCGGGAGGGCATCCTGGGGGTGGAAGAGGAATGTTGCCAGCAGTAGCCCCAGCTCCAAACCTGGCACCTGGATCATACCCTCCTTCCACCAGCACTGTTGAACCAGGTGGATAAAAGGGGCCAATTGGATAATAAGCCATAGGGACTGTGGAACCTAAAGGTGCAACAACCACAGACTGGACCATGGGAAGATACAGTGAGGTGCCAGGAAATGCAGCTGACATCATGGGGACTGTGGCAGCCCCTGGATGCACAAAGCTTAGACAATAGACCTCTGAGTAGGCAGGTGAAGCAGCAGCATAGGGTGGAGCCTGAGGAAGATGCAAGATCTGAGGGTACACTGGATTCCCAGGAGGCTGCACAGGGTAGGTTGGCTGCATTGGATATTGACCTTTGCTGTTGATGGTGGCTGCAGGTCTGGTTAGGCTCTGCGTCCCGGATGGTTATTTTTTTCATCCTCTTCCTGTTTGTAGTCACTTGTGGAGTAATACTGTACCATACGGGTCTTTGATTTTAGTAATAAAACATCAAATTAGGTTTGGAGAGAACTTTGATCTTCCTAAGAATTAAACTTGCCAAATTATTTTGATTGGTCTTTAATCTCCTTTAAGCCTTTGATTTATATTACTTGTTATAAATGCATTAGTTGTCTGCCTTTCCTTTTCCATCCTTTATCTCACATCCCACCCTCAGCCCATCTTCCATTCCCTCCCAGCAATCTCCATTGAATCAATGGTGCAGGACAGAAAGCCAGTCAGATTAATTTCTTTCTCTTCTTGCACTTCCCCCCACTTGCCATCTTTTATTAGTCTTTCACAAGGATCCTCTGAAACTCTCTCTGTGCCCAAGACTAGACTCCATTACTTCTTATGCATCTCCTCAGGAAAAAGAGGGGGGTGCCTTTGGACCCTCCTCATAGGTTGTCTCTTCAGACATGAACCAAATCCAAATTTGCTTTGGTGTCAGAAAAACTGAGCTTGATTGAATAACAGATACTAACACAAACTGTACTGTAAACAACAGTTTGTTTAAAAGGTGTGTGTGGGCAGGGGTCAATAAGGAGGATGCATTTCAGAAGCCTGATGACTTCAGAGCCAAAATTAAGGGGAATTTTCAAACCAAAAATTGGTTACCATATATTGTCTCAGTGTCTGATGCAGCCACTCGTGGCTCCCAAGAATTCCTCAGCTGGGTTAATGGGGTCATATTGTGAATGCCTCATTGCAAAATGACTCGAGTCCAGCAAAATCTCATTAGGGTTAACAATATTTCAGGGATCCTTAATATTTTAAATTTTAGCAATTAGATTTTATTTTATTTTATAATTTCAGTTCATCTAAATTGTGTTTTATACATGTGATGTTGGACTGTACCATTGAGTGTTATGGAAGTTCAGAATTGTATGTCTCTCTCTACACTGTGGTGCACTTAACTTGTGGATTTTTTTATACTAAAAACATAGAATAAAGACTATTTTGAAGATTTGAATAAAGTGATGAAGTTACATTACACCTCACTTCAAGGATTCTTTAAAACTAACTAACTAAATAAATAAATAAGAGGAAAGAGTCAGCAATAGCTATGACATTTATTGCTTAAGACACAGCATTAGAAATGATCAAGTTTATGGTAAAAGGGGAGAAAAGACACTGGCAGGGTCAACTTTGGACATACTAAAAGCTTGAAGTGCCTATGGTAAATACAAATGAAAAAGGGATTCAGGATCGAGCAGATAACCTTGACTTTGGGACAGCGTTAGAGATGGAGCACACAGATAGAAATCAGTCAGGGAGACCCAGAGAGAAGTACTTCACAAACCCTGGAGAATCCCAGCTCAATGGCAGAGTAGGGAAGGGACATCCTCAGAGAGAATTAGTGGTATTTTACTGAATTCACAGAGGTTGTACTGGAATATTGATGTAAAGGTACAGTATGGTTATTTAAATATGTATTGAAAAGTATGCTATTAAGCATATTTTACAATAGCCAAGTTTTGGAAGCAACCTAAATGCCCATTAGTAGATGATTGGATCAAAAAATTATGGTACATATACACAATGGAATACTACACAGCAGAAAGAAAAAAAAAAGAAGTACTAAACTTTGAGACAGCATGGATAGAACTGGAGAGCATCATGCTAAGCGAAATAAGCCAGGGGGCGAAAGACAAATACCATATGATCTCACCTATAAGCGGAACCTAACCAACAATGCAAAGATGCAAGGAAAATATGACCAGCAACATTGAAAAGAAAAGAAATCAACAGAGACAAGAGGGAAGGGGGGGACAGGGAAAGGGAAGGGAAGGGGAAAGTCAAGGAACATATAGCAAGGACTCATGGACAAAACCAAAGGGGAAGAGCTGAGGGAGGGAAGGTAGGAGGGGGCAAGGGAAAGAGGTGGGGGGGAGGCAGAGACAAATGTATTTAAAAAGTAAATAAATTAAAAAAAAGAAAAAAAAAGAAATAACTCATTGTAAAATGGAAAAAAAAAAGAAAAGTATGCTATTAAAATGTACAAAGACTGCTGTTGTAAGGCAATAAAGTTGTAAGACTTATCATTTGTTCCTTAATGAAGATTTTATAGTTGAAGATAGTATGTTTCATAAAAAATGCATTTTAATAAATATAACAACTTCATCATTAAAGATCATAAACTCTAGGAGTTGAAGGGGATAGACATGTCCATCTTTTTTTTTTTTTTAATTATTTTATAAGGAGAAGGTGAAGAGTAACATTTTGGCTTCTGGTACTCTGCATCATCTGATATAGGTGCCTGCCTGCACTAGATCCCTGAAGTAAGTAGCTAAATAAGTAAATCAATCCAAAGTAGAAATAGTGCCTTCCTTCAATGTTTTCGCTGATACCAAGTTGAAGATTATGGTTTGGCTGAACACATCACTGGCTACCCAAGCAGGTTCTTTCCTTCTCCTCCTTTGGAAGGATGGGTTTACTGAACTCTGCTTGAGGCCCAAGGTTATTTTGATGTAGCCAGTCTAAGGTCATTAGACAGGAAAACCGTCAATTGATCCAAATTATAGAAGTATATGTCCTGGCACTAAATTTAATATGCTCTTGGGTTTCAGAAAAGGAAAAACAAAACCCCAAATTCCTTTTTTTTTCTTTTGGGATTCATTGCTAACACCATTTTGTTTAAATTTCATAGATTTAAGTTTCATCAAAGTAGAATTTATGTAACATTATATACCAGATAGTCACCGCCATGGAAGTTATGGAGTACTTTATTGCCAAAGTGAGCCTTGTGGGTTTCACAATTACAAAATGAAACACGGTTGTTTATATAAGGTTTCAGCTACAGACAATGTAGAAATTTGGTAATGTGGGGTTTACTGCCTCAAAGACAAATCTACTTTATTTTTTAAAATGCCTTTTAGAAATGTATTGAGGGTGGGAGGTGGGGGTGGGTGGAGCTGGGGAAAGTAGTGGCAGGAAAATGGAGACTAATGTATTTGAACAATAAAAAATAATAATTAAAAAAAGAAATGGATACCCTTAGTATTAAAATTTGAAGTTTGAGAAGTACAAATTGAGGGGCAAGATATTATATATTTTTAAAAATATTTTGTTTATTTTTAGAGAGAGTGAAGGGAAGGATAGAGAGGGAAAGAAATATCAATATGTGGTTGCTTCTCACGCGTCTCCCACCAGGGACCTGGAGTGCAACCCAGGCATGTGTCCTGACTGAGAATCCAACCAGAGATCCTTTGGTTTGCAGCCAGCATTCAGTCCACTGAGGCACACCAGCCAGGGCTAAAACATATTTTCTATAAACAATCTCTATTTTTTAAATTATTTTTTAAATTTATTTACTTTTTAAATACATTTGTCTCTGCCTCCCCCCGACCTCTTTCCCTTGCCCCCTCCCTCCATCCCTCCCTCAGCTCTTCCCCTTTGGTTTTGTCCATGAGTCCTTGCTATATGTTGACTTTCCACTTCCCTTCCCTTTCCCTGCCGCCACCTTCCCTCTTGTCTCTGTTGATTTCTTTTCCTTTCAGTGTTGCTGGTCATATTTTCCTTGCATCTTTGCATTGTTGGTTAGGTTCCGCTTATAGGTGAGATCATATGGTATTTGTCTTTCGCCCCCTGGCATATTTCGCTTAGCATGATGCTCTCCAGTTCCATCCATGCTGTTGCGAAGTTTAGTACTTCTTTTTTTCTTTCTGCTGCGTAGTATTCCATTGTGTATATGTACCAGGGTGTTTTGATCCAATCATCTACTGATGGCATTTAGATTGCTTCCAACACTTGGCTATTGTAAATTGTGCTGCTATGAACATTGGGGTGCATAGGTTCTTTTGTATTGGTGTTTTGGTGTTCTCAGGGTATAGTCCCAGCAGGGGAATCACTGGATCAAAAGGCAGTTCCATTTTCAGCTTTCTGAGGAAATTCCACACTGCTTTCCACAATGGCTGCACCAGTCTGCATTCCCAACAACAGTGTACTAGGGTTCCCTTTTCTCCACAGCCTCGCCAGCACCTGCTGTTTGTGGATCTGTTTATGATGGCCATTCTGACCGGTGTGAGGTGGTACCTCATGGTGGTTTTGATCTGCATTTCTCTGATGGCTAGTGATGCTGAGCATCCTTTCCAATGCCTCTGGGCCCTCTGTATCTCCTCCTTAGAAAAGCATCTGCCCAGGCCCTTTGCCCATTTTTTTATTGGATCGTTTGTCATCTGTGAGTGGAGTCGAGTGAGTTCTTTATATATCTTGGAGATCAAACCTCTATCTGATGTATCATTAGCAAATATATTTTCCCATACGGTTGGCTCCCTTTTTCATTTTGCTGATGTTTTCTTTCACCATGCAGAAGCTTCTTATTTTGATGAGGTCCCACTTGTTTATTCTTTCCTTTATGTCCCTTGCTTTAGGAGACATATCAGTGAAAAAATTGCTGCGTGGGATATCTGAGAGTTTCCTGCCAATGTTCTCCTCTAGGACTTTGATGGTGTTGTGACTTATATTTAAGTCTTTGATCCATCTTGAGTTTATTTTTGTGCATGGTGTCAGCTGATGATCCAATTTCAATTTTTTTGCATGTAGCCATCCAACTCTCCCAACACCATTTGTTGAAGAGGCTGTTATTGCTCCATTTTATGCTTCTGCCCCCTTTGTCAAATATTAGACATCCATAGAGACCTGGGCTTGTTTATGGGCTTTCTATTCTGTTCCACCAGAACAAGTAGAAGGAAGGAAATAGTCAAGATTAGAGCAGAACTGAATGACATAGAGACAAAAAGAACAATTCAGAGGATCAACCAATCCAGAAGCTGGTTCTTTGAAAAGATTAATAAAGTTGACAAGCCTTTAAGCAGACTCATCAAGAAAAAAAGGGAGAGGATCCAAATTAATAATATCAGAAATGAAAGAGGAGAAATAACAA